CAGCAAGGGACAGATGACCATGTTGTGTTGAGATCTAGAGAAACCAGTCAGAAAGGTCAGGTGAAGACTAGGTTTCAGGAAGCATTCACAGACTGGAAATAAGAGATTTTTCACTTACTCTGTGAAGTAATTTCTTAAGCAAACTATTCACAAAACTGAAAGAATATTCAACTTCTTACAACAAGTTCACATTCATCTCAATAGGAGTAAACCCTGAAATAGCCAGGTCACCTTTAAGTAAGTTTATTCAAAACTCCATGATATGTGTGCACACATGGGTGTACATACACACCTACTCCTATCTCTAACTCACTAAATCATATTATCATCTGCCACCAGGAATTGCAACAAATCCAGAATTAAAAAATTGGTATTTTTCATCAAAAATTGTGGTTCATTGCATCAGTAAAATTATTCACATGCATTTTTATTCTTAGCTCCAATTCAAGCATGAATAAGGGTGTGTAAGAACATTTCAAAAGGAGCAACTCATCAGGCTCTTAGATAAGAACTTCCCATGTTTCATCATAAGAGTTTTTAAAAACTGAAAGCAGTTCAAGACATTTGTTGCTCTATGAATACAAAACATTTATTTTTTGCTGTTTTTAGGAGGTAAAAAAATCAATGCCTTGTGTGTTATTGCTTAAGCAGAAATCACAATTGAGCATTAAGTCCCCAAACTCTAAAAATGAACCACTGTTCCCAGCTAGTAGGGCAGAAAGTGAGAGACCAAAAGCATTGTATCTACAAAGCCACCAACTGCCTTCATGGTAAGATCACCTCCTTCAGAGTTCACCATATTTTTGGGATATGCTGAGCCCCTGTCAAATACAAAGAGGATGAAATGCTCTGGTTTTTTTTTTTTTTTTTTTTTTTGCTGTCCTACTATTGTCATTACAATTTTAAGGGTGAAAGAATAGTCTTGTTCAGCAGCAAAAGGCCCTCCTAGCTGTGATGGCGCTAAGATAAGCTCCTGTCTCTGTTAAGTAAGCTTCATCTCACTCCACTCTCTGCCTACTTACTAGTCCTTACTAGTCCTTCCCTCATGCTGTGCTGACAGATGACTGGTAGCTTCCTGGTTCCATACACAGTAGTTTCCTACCCTGCCCTGACGTGTATCTTTAATACTTGCATCCTAACTCCTACTCATCCTGGATGGCATGAGTCACCTTCAGCTTGCGCTTGCTGAGCAGCCCTGTAGGCTTGCTTAGTTTCCATTAAAACTGCGGTGTGCCTTTGTCACCAGTGCACTTCATTATATAATGGTTACCTCTCCGTATTTATTCTCCCTAGCTCATGCGCCCTTGGAGGGTAGGAACCATGTTTTATTCATCTCTATTTTTTTCCTCAGGGTTAAGCTCAGTAAATGTGCATTGAATGAGAGAGCATAGAAACGAGTAACTTACAGATATGCAGAAAACAGAAGGTAGGGAAAATAGCACAAGCAAAGATAATAATATATGACTAGAGACTCTCATTAGAGATATAGATGAGTGACAGCCTTAGGTATTCTTTTCTGCACACTAATGCTGTGTTTTATGTTAGTATTTTTTTCAGAATGAAGTCCTTAATACCCTAACTGCCAAAGAAACAGAAGCAACCCAAATTACTTTAGAGAAAGATATATATGTTATTGCTTAAAATAAGCTTTTTATTTTGGAATAATTTTAGATTTACAGAAAAGTTGCAAGTTATACTAGGGTAGCAAGAGTTCCCGTACACTCATACACTCTTCACCCAGTTTCTCCTAGTGTTAACACCGTAGAGAACCAAGGTGTGTTTGTTATAACTAAGATAATGACATAAGAATATCATTATTAATAAAACTCTTATCAAATTTCATCAGTTTTCCACAAACATACTTTTTCTGCCCCAGGATCCAATTCAAGATACAGTATTGCATTTACTATACTTTTTTTTTTTCTTTTCAGTGCTGGGATTTGAACTCAAGGACTTTACCTTCAGCCACTCCACTAGCCCTATTTTTGTGAAGGGTTTTTCAAGATAGGGTCTCACCAACTATTTGCCCGGGCTGGCTTCGAACTGCCATCCTCCTGATCTCTGCCTCCTGAGTAGCTAGGATTACAGGCGTGAGCCACCTGGACCCTGCTTGCATTTAGTATACGCTTAAAATCAAATACTGACTTGATTTTGAAGAAGAACTACTTCCAAGCATCTCAGCTATTCTTCCAGCTTCCTTCATCCCTAGTGTGATGTAGCGGTCCACACTTCCTTTTCCTGGTCTCAGCCAGGCACAAGACAACAAGTAAAGTCCTCCTTCAAATGCTGGCCCAGCTGGGAACTCATGTGGGCTAAGAATATCTCAACCAGGTCAGCACACAGTTTCATTTAAAAAAATCCAGGCAGAGTAGAGATAACAGCAAACAAGACAAGCAGCATAAAGAGCACCCTGAGTTGGTTCACAGGTGGTCAAAAAATTCCCCAATCATCTTCAAGAGTCTTTTGTCCTGAAGCCTAGGTTGGTGGCCTGGGTTAGAAAAGAGCTGCAGATGAGAAGGCAAGGATGACCTGGGCAGCCGCTGCTGTCAAACCCCCGGCAGGGAGGCTGGGCAACGCGGAGGGGCTGGGAGCAGAGGCACCAGGGGAGTCTGGTTTTAGCAAAACAGCCTTTCAAGGTGCACAGGGTATTAGCAGTAGAAAGTAAGCAGCTCATTTGCCACTAATTGCCATGTTCCCAGGCCTTATAGGTAAAAAGTGGTCTATTTAGGGAGAGGCTATGAACTTGAGGACTTTGGAAAATTTGAAAGCAGACACCATGCAGGGACTATTTTTTTTTGGTAGGGACTATTTTTGAGGCAAAAAGAAGGTGAACTTTTTGCCTGATGATAAAGAAGACAGGGTTTTATTGCAGTTAGAACAGTCATTTAAGGCCAATCAGGATACTTGAATAGGTCCTCCGAATGTAGACCCTCCCAGTACCTTCCTGGCACCCTGAGCCCTGCTAGGTTTCAGGGATCTGCCACCCAAAGGAAAGGGAAGATAATGAAGGAAGCAAGGGAGGGCTGCAGATGATGAAAGCCATTATGACAATCACGAAGAAGAAACTGGATCAAGTCATCTGTAGAGAGAGTCAAGGGAAGAGTTTAAATAACATACATTAAGAATGTGAATGACTCAAACTCAAGGACTGGTGACAACCATTCTGCAGTGAGAGCAGAGCACAAAACAACAGCAGCAAAGGTGGCCTCTGCAGCGTGAGGGGTTCCAGACACACATAAGAATACATTTTCTAGCTGGGTGGCTCACACCTGTAATCCTGGTTACTCAGGAAGCAGAAATCAGGAGGACTGTGGTTGGAAGCCAGCCCAGCCAAATAGTTTGCAAAAGTCTACCTGGAAACACCCATCACAAAAAAGGGCTGGTGAAGTGGCTCAAGGTGCAGGCCCTGAGTTCAAACCCCAGTGCCACAAAAAAAAAAAAAAAAAAAAAATTCTCTGACCAAGACAACTAAGGCTAAGGCTGCTAGGCACAGAACTAGGTTTCCAAAGCAAGATATAAAATTTCACACTCCAAACATCTTCTTAAATTTCCTTATAGCCCTGAGAGTGCACCTTAAATGGGAATAGGCTAGTATTTAGATATTTCCCCATTGTCTTTAATTAAGATGTGAAAGGACTAATATAAAAAGACTTCTGAAGTTTTGTTTTGTTTTGGTTTTGGTTTTGGTGGTACTGGGATTAACTCAGGGCCTCCAGCTTGCCAGGTAAGTGTTCTACCACTTGATCCATGCACCCAGACCTTTTTGCTTTTAGATTGTTTTCTCGAATAGGGTCTTGCACTTTGGCCAGAGCTGGCTTCGGATCATAGTTTTATCTCCACCTCCTGAGTAGCTGGGATTACAGAAACGTACCACCACACCTGGTCACCTGGCTTAGGGACTTAAGAAATTTTTACAGGAAGACAACAGGTGCTATGCTTGCAAAGTATTAACTGGATAAATTGAGAAAGGAAGAAAACTTCAGGTAAGTTTTTATCCTTGTCTAATTTATTTACAAGTGGGTCCTTTCATGAGGTTTTCAAAAACTTTTTATGTGATAATTACATTCTCTTATCTTCTTTAAGCATAAAATGAGAGATTTACAACCCCCATTTACATGATTTCCTGATACAATCTCTATCATAGAAAACAAAAACAATTTGAAATACATGAGATCAAAAAAGATACAAATTGGACCAGTTTATTCCATATTTATATGAACACTTGAAAGAATAAAAGAGCTTAAAGCATGAAATTATTTATGCCTGTTTAGAAAACTTTCCATTGGGAGAAAAAAACTCAGTATATAAAACATTCAACCTAAGTCTACATTAATTTTACAATAGTCAACTAAAAAAATCTTAAATTTTATCTTCATTACAAACTGTTGAAAGAAAGGAATCATGCATACTTATATTTATCTAAAGACTACAAAGTACTTAATGATCACTCATATCTAACACACAAAGTCAAACTATTGTAACTGTGTGCCACCAGACTGCAGAGTCACAAGAAGAAACATCAGATATATGTTCTGGTGCAAGGCAAAGCTTTTTAACCATGGACTTAGAACACTGATTCCCAATTTGGAGCAATTTTATCCCCCATGAGTCATTTGGCAAGGTCACCCAGAGACATTTTTCATCCTTATAACTTGGGTGGGGGTTGGGGGATGCTACCAGTATCTGGCAGGTAGAATCCAGAGATGCTATAAAATGTCCTAAAATGCACAGGATAGGCCCCCACAATAGAGAACCATTTGGTCCAAAATACCTACAGAACCAAAGGTCAGTAATTATGGCATAGAATCATCAGTTCTCCTTAATAAGCAGTTTGTTTCTTCAGAATTAAGTGGATATGTTTACAATTGTTTGTTTTTCTGATTAACAAGAAAACTATTTACCAACCAACCAAATATACCAAATATAGTTTGCCTTTTACACAAATGCTTCAGTAAGGGCAATATTAATCAATATGTGTAATCTGAGGTCCGATCACATACCAGAACATTCCAGAACAGTGCCCTGTTGTGGAAGAATGAAACCATAATGGATGTACAGATGACTGCCAAGTAAAACCTGCGTAGTTCTCAGCAGGATCCCGTATGTGCCAGCTTCTGGAGTATAAGGAATATGCCCATAAAACAAACATTTGGAAGGACTCGGAGGTGAACTTGGGCCTGAGAGGGTGCTGATAATGGGCTAAAAAGAACAACTGCCACATTGGATTAAGTACCAAATAAGAGCTCAGCACAGTGCTTGAAAGCAGATTAGCTGCAATGAGGGGAGGAGGAGGACTGCCATTATTATTGTGAATACCAAATCCACATATGAACACTTCCTGAAATGAACACTGTTGTTTACCCTCAAACTTCTCCCCTCCACACGCATTGTCTATGCCCAACTAGAAAGGCATTAAGGAGAACGTTAGCTAGAAAGCCCAATGCTCTGACAACTAATGGTCTTTTGTCTTAACTCCTCTTCTCAATATGGCAGAAATGAATGTTTTGAAACAAAAGTGAAAAGGCCTGGGGCAAAAAGGGTGCTACCAATTTCCACATTAAGATACAACAGCCACCCTCAACCATATGTACTGATTTGTTCTCTGCCAAAATATGGGGTTTGCCATTACGGAGACATGGCCTATGTTTTCCAGTTGCCACAAAATCATGTATTTTTTTTTTTAATACAGTGGGAACTCAGCATTGATTGAAGTCTGTTATTTTAGTCCTGGAATCAATGAGTATGTACTAAGCATTCAGTCACAGGCTAGGCACCATGGGAGTTGCAAAGACCCATACAACATCTTTACTCTTTTTACCGGATTAGATAAAGAGAACACTAAACCTGTGGTTAGCAAGAGACAAATCTGGAAGGCTCCAGGGACCCATTTTGTTCCCTCTATTGCTAGCTTAGTAGAGAGCTGGCTCAGCTCTACAAGAAAATAGGCTGATACCAACTCTGGGCTCCAGAGACTTTCCATTCCCAATAAGGCCACTTCCCTGACCAGTTTCCACTGTTACACAACCACACTGATGTTCTCTGGCTACCAGCCCTATAAATACACAGACCATCATCTACCAGATCTGTGCGTATGGTACACGCAGATATCCAGGCCTGGCCTCAGCTAGGTGATGTGAGGTCAAGGGATTGTGTGCACACTGCTACATAGATGCTCATGAATTGTTTTCCAATAAATCCTATATAATGTCTTCACTGTGTAACATTAGCACTATAATCAAGTGACCCCTTACACAACAGTCAGCATTAACAAAGGCAGTGTCTATCCAGACATACAAAAGTCATATTCACTGTATCACCATTTTATATACACATTTTGTGAAATTTTACATGTTTTTATTTCTACTAGACAGATTCAAATAATCATGGGTTGAAAGGCATTTTCTAAAAATCAAAAGGTGTATAGGAGGGCTGAATCCATTCCCTGAAGTTCTGTAATTCATAGAGGTGTGGTTTGAACTGGAGCCAACAGTAGGGTCAAGCTCTTTTGGAAGGGGGTGAGACTTGAGCCTTGACCAGAGTAGCCTCAGGAGGAGTTCATAGGAGGGATGGTATTCAATTCTGGATTCATCTGGAGACACACCAGGCCAGCCCCTCTGTGAATTCTAATGGTCCACAGTTTGCCAAAGAGCAGTGGTCTGGACCGTATGAGGAGTCCAAGGGTAAGTCCTGACTTCCAAGCTAAAGGTCAGCTTACAGCCCTCATATCAGCCATCATTGGCCATGCTCTTATCTGCAGGGCGAGGCAGGTGAGGCAAGTGATTACTGAGGCAACAGAGGCTTGGTATACAAAATGACACAGGAGGCACACATGCCTCGCTTTTAAGGAGGCACTCACCATCAGGGTTCTGCATGGTACTGGGGTAACTTGTAATGTTCCAAAGACTGAGTGCTTCCTTAAATTTTTCTACCCTAGGCTCCTCCCTTGCTTCACCATAGTCCAGGTGCTGTTACCCTATACCCTTTCCCTTCCTCCCACCTCGATACCTCTCTTAATTTGACATCAGTCCTTCATGCACATTTTTAAAACCAGGACCTAGCCATTGAAACTATATCCATCTTAAAAGAGGCACGTCTTAGTGCAAGTTTGAAAAAAAAAAAAAATCTAGTCAGATCTGAATTTTTTTCTTCCACAACTAAAAATCAGAATAAACGCTGGAAACTTCAGACAAGACTCAATTTCTAACTATCTCATTTTTTTTCCTGTTCATGATGAACACCCAAAAATATACGAAGCCATTTTGCAATGGTTGCGATTTCCAAATTAAATGCCTTCTAATTAGCTCCTCCTCTCTGTTTGATAATCCTACTATGGTAAGCCAGTTTAGAAATTATTAGATGTCAGATGTGTTTTTCCTTTGTGAACACTAATGAGCAGAAATAGAACAATTGTAAAAACACTTTGTCTTATATTCCTTTTTATTTCACCCTTCTGGAGTCTTTACAGAAATCTCAGACATCTATTGGTTTAATGTAATTTGGTTCTCTATTTACAAAAAAAAAAAAAAGAAGAATTTCCACTTTAGGACACAACTATGTATTATGAGCATGATCGTAACTGACAAGTGAAACAGTGCTAAGTGGAAGCTATGATGGGCTTTTTTGAGACCTGACCTTTTGCCAATTTAGAACTCACTTTATTAGTTTAGGAAGTTGAAAAAATTTTTTATAAACAATAGCTTTGGAAATAAGACACAATTTCATCATCTAAAAATGATGACTGTTGTAAACATCGAATGGTGACTCTTGGTTTAAGATGACATGAATGATAATAGATGAGCCATATTGACCTAGTCACACCTTATTCTTTCCTCATCTAGACATACTGCTGCTGTTACACATGGCAAACCTAGTGATTTAAGCTAACATATTATCTTATAGTTCTGGAGTGGGGATCAGAAGTCCAACACGGGTCTTATTGACCTAAAATTAATGTGTCGGCAGGGTCATGCTCCTTCTGGGGGCCTTGGGGAATATCCATTTTCTTGCCTTTTCCAGCATCTATAGGCCATCTGCCTTCCTTGGCTCATAGGCTCCTTTCCTCCATTTTCAAAGAAGTAATGGCAGTAGAATCTCTCTCGCACTGCCATACCTCTGGTTCTCCCTCTTCTGCCTCCCTCTCCTACTTACAAGGACCTTATACTAGTCAGTTTTCTGTTACTATAACAAAAACACCTGAGATAAGTTAACTTATAAAGAGAAAAGTTTTATTTTGGCTCAGTTTTAGAAGTTTCAGTTCAAGATTGGTTGGCTCCATTGCTTTAGGAGAGGCAGTACATTATGGTGGGAGTGGAGGGTAGAAACACACAGTAGAGCATACCTACTCACCTCATGGCCAGAAAGAGAAAGGGAGGAAAAAGGAGGCTCTGGGTTCCTACTATCCCCATTCAAAAGCCTGGCCGCAAAGGCCAAAAACCTCCCACAAGGCCCCACCTCTTGAAGGTTCCACCACTTCTTAATACAGCCATGCTGGGGACCAAGTGTCTAACCTAGGGCATTTGGGGGAACACTTAAGATCCAAATTATAGCTGACCCTCATGATTATACTGAGCTCAATAAAACAATCTAGAATGATCTGCCCATCTCAAGGTCACCCAATCAGCAATCTTAACTCCCCCTTGTCATGAAACTTAACTGCTGTGGTGATTATGTCCTCCAGCAGTTCATGTGATAGAACTTTGTCTAGTGATGTATTCGGGTGATGGGGGAAGAGCCCTTTGCTCTCATGGGACTGGACTACTTACCATGAGAACAGACTGATAGAACAGCAAATTTATCTTCTTCAGCTTTCTCTTGTTTCCTCTCTTGCTGTGTGATCATGGCTCTCTGCCATGAATTGAAGTAAGCATGAGTCCTTCACCAGAAGCCAAGCAAATGCTGGTACCTCATCTTAGACTTTCCAGCTTCCAAAACTGTGAGCCAAAGTAATCCTCTTTTCTTTATAAATTACCCAGTCTCAGGTAATTCTGTTACAGCAACAGAAAGTAGACTAAGACACGAATGTAGTCACAGTTTCCAGGGCTTAGTATGTCGATATCTTTGGATGGCCTTTGTCCTGTCTGCCACAAGTTTATACAAAATTTTTCTTATACAAGGCAGGGGCTTACAAGATTTATGACATGTCCAATGTCAGACATTTGCTATGTATAGTCTGGAGTTTTTGACAATCAGAACTTTCAAAGATACTTACTAAGGCAGTTATATATTGTGGACTCAAGCAGTTGGTGGAAATCACAAATCTGTTTTCATTCCATTATTTTTGAGACCTTCTGAACTTTACAAGTCAGTTTCATAAAATGTTGAGTACATTCTTAAAGGACCAAACCTGGTCAATACTCAAGGTTTGTTGACTCAGCTTGCTGTGAAATAACCTCACGTTGGAATTTATTCACATTCATATTTGTGAGTCTACAAGGACTGCCAGCTGATGTCAAAGAACCGTGCTTGCCCTGCCCATCTGTGCAATACCCAGAACACTGAAGAAATAGCAAGCCTGTATATACATGGGAATGTCACAATGAAACTCCCTGTGTTGCTATCTTAAATAAACAAAAATGTCTTCTTTCAAAACAGAGAACAGGAAGGCAAAACAGGGCTTGTGGGTGGGGGTTGGTACAGTGGGAGGGGGAGGATATAAGGAAAGGGTGTAGGTGAGTGAATATGGTGAAAATATTATGTACTCATGTGTGAAAATAGAAAAATGAGACCTGTTCCAGAAATGGGGGCAGGGAGAAGGAGAAATAAGGAAGAATGATGAAGGGGGTAAATGAATTCAATTGTGATAATATTGTAAGAACTTTTGTAAATGTCACAATGTACCCCCAGTTCAACAATGAAAAAGAGAAAAAAAAACATAAAAAAGAAAATTAAAGATGGGAAATCAAAAAAAGAAAAATAAATAGCTAGGCCAGGCCCACAGGGGACCTAAGGTAGACTGTGGGGAAAGGAAGAGCACATAACCTGTCTATGACAGTTTTAAATGTTTCTTAAAATAAAAACTACAATGCTCAACCAAATAAATGCAACTGAAGTTAGACCCCTTTCCTCACCCCAACTGGCTGTTGCTTTCATTCTGAACCTGACTTTGAAAGTTCCAGAGGATTCCACTACTTTGCCATTAGCCCCTCACCTGACTTGCCTTTTCAATTCCTTAGGACAGACTGTCCTCGAAGACATATCATCCTGTTCTTTATTTGTATAATAGATCTCTCACAGACTGCCTTGGCTTTCAACTCATTGCTGTCCAGATCTGAACCTCTGTGTTTTCCTCCCCAGTCTTGCCATCAGGCCCATGACCCTATGTGGCCACTTGTTTGTGGACTGCAAGAGACAGAGCTATTCACATGGCCTTTCTGCTGTAGTCACTGGGTGAAGCCTGGATGGTGTCTAGCTGACATTCCATTCTTCAAATACAAAAGTAGCAATTCTTGGCTAGATTATCCCAAATTGGCCTACACAATCCTAATGGGGAAAAATTATTTTTAAGCATGAGCCAATGAAATCTTGCTTACAAAATGGAAGAAGGAGCACAGGCTGAGGCAGAAACTCAGGTTCAATTCTTAATCCTTCTATAGACCAGTTGGATAACTCTAGGAAAGCTCCTCACCCCCAAATTGGTCTCAGTTTCCTCCTAAGTAAAATAAGGACTATGAAGAGATCATTTCTGGTTTCCAAGTGCCCTGTTCTTAGTAAAGTTAAAATAGAGCAAGGCGATACTCTAATTCACCTGGGAAGAATGCTATATTTTGTAATTCCTAGTAATTCTCTATGAGTTTCTATTTCATCTCCACCCAGGGGGACCGGTTCTTAATCTCTCTGGCCTGTTACATTTATAACATGTATATGTGTATGTATATTCTGAAAGTCCCTAAAGTTTATGTGGAGAACAAGTGTAACATGATGCAGGTGAATTATTTGTAAAGTAGGAGTACCTAAGAAATCAATAAGAGAGGTCTGGAATTGTTTACTTTAGGAAGTTCCAGAACAGATTTAACTTTCTAGATTGCTGCAGATTGGCATTTTTCTAACACAGGAGGCTTACATACATGTGATATCTGTTTTTCCATCCTTTGGAATACCAAGCCAACATGGTTTTGCAATAGAGTTGAAGTATGGGTAGGGATAGTACCCCTTTATACATGGTGACCAAGATCCTATCAATTTTCAAAAAAAAATCTCAGAGAATGCTTCAGGATGAAACGTCTCAACTCATGAAAACAGAGCTGAATGTTCCATCTTTTTGGCTCTTCCTGTACCTTTTACCTACCACCTCTGTCTCCCTGATCTGTCTCTCTGAGTTTCTCTGAGGATATTTACTGTGCTTTATTCCTCTTTGTATCCTTGGCACCCAGTAGAGTGCCTAGCACACAATAACCACTCAATAGTGTGTATTGAGCAAGTGACAAAGAAAAGTTACCTATACTATAAGCTACTCGAGGCATTTCTATTATTCTTTGATTCCACAGAAGAGAGGGAATAGTAGAAGAACATGGCTTTTAGCAGATGTATTTTGTGTATTTGGAAGTCACATAACAGAGATGACACAATCCCTTAATTTTTGAGGGATGTAGGTCACAATTTCATTTGAACTTTTGAAACAATATCTTAGCATCCTTTAAAAATAAGATCCTAAGGGCTGGGGTGTAGCTTAAGTAGTAGGGCACTGGTCTAGCCAGTCTGAGGCCCTGGGGTCAATCCCTAGTACTGAAAAAAAATCTTAAAATTAAAGTGCCATGCTTTTAAAACTGTCTTTCTAAGAGTATCAAGCCTGTAGAGCTGTGTTTAAAGTCCTATCAGGTTCATATTTTGCTACCAAATGAATCCCACAAGTCACTCACAAGAAAACATCATCTCTGTGGGATTGTGTACATTAGCAATACCTAGAAGGGTTTTGAATATCATTAGGCAACTGTGCACATTTATTTCGAATTCAAAGAAGCAGAATTGGATGGATTGCTTGTAAAATTTGTAAACTTCCAAATTTAAGGATAGGAAAAAGGATAGAGGAGAAGGGTAAGGAGGTTGGGTCCCTATTCCAGGGGAGAGGCCCTATAGACTCATAAAAAATGAGTCCAAAATATACTTTGATACTAGAACTGATAAGAACTGTTGATGTGAAAGAAGAAAGAATTAAATATGACCCCAAGGCATCTAACCTAAACTACAGATGAATGAAGATGCCATTTTCTGGATTGGAAAAGACCACAAGAAAAGCAGGCTTGAAAAGAACGTTGGAAACTCAGATTTGGACATGATCAATTGGTTTTTCCTATTAGGCGACCAAGTGGAGACAGTGAGTAGACAGATGGAATTCAGGAGTTTGGTTGAGGCTGAAGTTATCATTTTGGAAGGATTAGAATAAAATCAGTAATTAAAGCCTCAATACTGGATGAGAAAGAGAGAATGTACATAGAAGAAAGTGTGGACATGATAAAAGCGAGAGCACACAAGGGAGGGGTGAGGATAGGTAAGACACCTAAAAAACTAGCTAGCATTTGTTGCCCTTAACGCAGAGAAACTAAAGCAGATACCTTAAAGCAACTGAGGCCAATAGGAAAAGGGGAACAGGTACTAGAGAAAATGTTAGATTAAAAAGAATTAACCTAGAAGGTAACACCCACGCACAGGAAATCAATGTGAGTCAATGCCCTGTATAGCTATCCTTATCTCAACCAGCAAAAACCCTTGTTCCTTCCTATTATTGCTTATACTCTCTCTACAACAAAATTAGAAATAAGGGCAAAATAGTTTCTGCTGGGTATTGAAGGGGGGGAGAGGGAGGGGGCGGAGTGGGTGGTAAGGGAGGAGGTGGGGGCAGGGGGGAGAAATGAACCAAGCCTTGTATGCACATATGAATAATAAAAGAAAAATGAAAAAAAAAAAAAAAAAAAAGAAAGTGTGGAAAGACTGACTCTTGGACTAGCAGTCAGAAGATGAGGGACCAGAAAACTAATGGCCAAAAAGTCCAGAGGAAAACCAAGAGAATGTATATCCTTGAAGTCAAGTGAAGGAAAATCAGTCAAGAAGAATGATCAATTATTGCAGCTGCTTGATAAAGCAAGCAAGATCCTTGGCCAAAGCTACTGGTGACCCTGACAAAAACAATTTCAGTGGATGATGAGGGCAATAGTCCCCACAAATGAAGTAGGATCAATGCAGCAAGAGAGAAGAAAAATAGATGGCAGAGAACAGAATAACTTTAAAAGGGAATTTTGTTATAAAAAGCAAGGCTTCTTAAATTAGAGTCCCCAAATAATCCATGGATAGAGTCCAGAGGGGTCATCAATTTAAACGGAAAAACACAACATCTTTACTTTGACCACTCTAACTAATCTAGCATTTCCATCAATTACTAATGTAATAGCACCAATGTCTACTGCTTTGTGGCCCACAGAAATTGTGGATATTTTCATATGACATTATGGTTGCTACAGAAATCTTAAAATATCATGCTCACCACCATTTCAAACAGTACGTACACCTGTCACCAGATCTCATGCAACTGTTAGCTTCTGTTCTACAAGCACTCAAACTTGGCTGGTCAATGCTGGGCACTTAAGTCCACAGTTGTTCAGCTGCTGTGACAAATACCTGAGAAAATCAGCTTCTAAGGAACAAAGATGTTTTGGCTCACAGTTTGAGAGGTTTCAGTCCATGGTTAGTTGGCTCTGTTGTTATGGGGCCTGTGGTGAGGCAGAACATCGTGGCAGGGAACACATGGTAAAACAAAGCTGCTCACTTCATGGTGGCTGGGAAATGTCCCAATACACCTGTCAAGGGCATGCCTTCAGTGACCTAACTTCCTCTGCTAAAGGTTTCAC